AAGCCTTTATAATGGTTTAAAATGAAATACTTTGCTCAAATTGACAAAAAAATGGATCAAAATTACTCAGAAATTAACCAAACCTACTTATTTGTTCGAACTGATAAAAAAAATGGCCCCAAAATGCTCAAAAATGGTTCTAAATGACTTTGCCAAAACGACTAAAAAATGGTTCAGTGCCTGAAAAGGGGTTCACAATTATATAATTCATCCAAAACAACAAAAAAAAAACATTAAAATGCTTAAAACTTGTTCAAACTGATTCAAAAATGGTCTAAAATCACACCAAAACAGTCTAACATGACTCATAAAGGCCCAAAACAGCCTCTAATTTGTCCAAAATGATGTAAAATGGTTCAGAAAACCTTACAATTAGTCCAAAATGACAAATATGGATTAAAAACACCAGAGATGAAGATCCCTGGTGTAGACGGTGGTTGAAATAGTTAAATACTGCAGTATCAGTTTTTACAAATCTCCTCATTGGCGTAATGATATTAAAACAGCTGATCTAATGGTAGTGAAACCAACTGATGTCCCACTGACCCACTGATAAACATCCTCTGGGGTTATTTATTGTTACTCGCCCACAGCGCTGCATCAATACGTTCTTCTGTTTCTGTGAGCAGCTGCCTTTCTATAGATACTCAAAGAAAACAAGTGATGAGTTTAAAAAAATGTGAAGACAAACACTTTAAAGGAGCGACTTTTCTCCAAGCAATGATGGTGCGTTTTAAGGCCTAATGAATAAACCCACTGCTGGCGTTCATGTGTGATGTTTTAGTTGAATAAACAGCAGTAATTAACCCTCTTAACTGTGAGCATCAAGTCGCGAACGAGGCGACTCCGATCCACCAGTGAATGCCAGTCATCCAGTAAAACTGATCCCTTCGCCGCCTCGGCAGTAAACCTCGTTAAGCTCGTTAGGCCGCGTTCGCCATTAACGAGAAATACCTCGTTGCCATTGGAGACGGGAGACGAGCCGAGGAGTGTTACGCCGCGATTGGCCGCCTGACAGTTCCATTAGCGCCGTGTTTGGACGCCAGACTGGGAAGAGGATTGATGGGTCTGGGATGTGTGGGCGCGTTCGCCTGTTTTGTCAAACTGATGGACCCGCCGGTGTCGGTTGTGTGAACCGCCTGCCTCAGAGGAAAGAAGAAAAAAAAAAGGCAGAACTGCTCATAAAAATTTCAAGCGATGCCACCTACGGGCTCGGTGACAGCGGGCCAAGTTCATGGAGAGTGAAAAATGGGGTGAGAGAGCTCAAAATAGAGGGTGAGGAAGCTGTGGGGAGACGGGGGTGATAAAGGGTTATGAGCATGAAAACGGAGAGGAGGAACAACAGGGAGGATTCAGGAGAGGAAATATAGAAACTAGAAGTGCAGGAGAGCTGGGACTTCCCATTACAAACCTCTCAAATGAGTCATAGCTGGAGTCGGGACAAATACTAATAACAGTATCGTGTGTTTGTGTAAATCTGCAGCTGCTGGTGTGGAAAGTAGCTGAATACCCAAGATGTGAAAACTAGGTTGTTTGTTCCTTCTAAAATAAGACCTTCAGCTGAATATGACTCTCATGGGGTTTGTGAGCTCCGTGGTTACAAATTGCATCAGAACCTTTATAAACTTGTTCAAAAATGGTTTAAAATGGCTCAGAATGTCAGAAAAATGGTTCAAAATGACATAAATTGACCAAAATGACTGATAATTTGTCCAAAATTAGTCAAAAATGGTTTGGAATGGCTGGAAAATGGATCAAACTGACTCAACGATTGACCAAAACTATTTATATTTTCGTCCACAATGACTGAAAAATTTGTCAAAATTACTCAGAAATCAACCAGAATTGCTCATAATTCGTTCAAAATTACTGAAAAATGCTCCAAAGTGACTTAATATAAGCAGCTGCCTCACCGTCCCCCAGGTTTATTTATTGTCGAGAGCTGCTTCTGACAGCTTGAAACGCACCAAATATTCTGTTTGTATTCTGCAACTGCTGCTGTGGAAACTAAATACCAACAAGCAGCACTGAAATATTTCCATTTTTAACCTCGTTTTACTCACGAGGGAAATATTGAACTTTCTACTCCACTGTCATGATGTGACAACTTTGCTGTTGACTTTTAATTTATAGATTTAATATCTTGTAGATAATATTCTACTATTTTACTAATTTTTAATTTCATATGTCTGGCTTTACATATTATTGTTGTTGTTGTTGTTATTTATGATTCATACATTTTCTTGCAATTTATTTATTTATTTGATTATATTTTTTGTTTTATTATTATTATTATTATTATTATAAGTACTTGTGATAAAAGAAACACTATTAAAAGAAAGTTATATTTAATTTTAATTTTTTAATTAATTAATTTTTTATTTTAATTTAATTTAATTTAATTTAATTTACAGATTTAATATTTCATAAACAATATTCTACTATTTTACTAATTTTTAATGTCATATTTCTATTTTAATAATAATATTATTATTATTATAGGCACTTGTGATGAAAGAAACACTATAAAAACAAAGTTCTATGTGTTGCTAGTTTGACTAGGAAAAACATGACATGTGGTTCATTTTTATCAGTTAAACGTCTCAACAGTGTTTGAAGCATTTAACATCTAATTTATCTTTAAAACTAAAATGCACAGCTGTTACTCATATATTTACCAGACCTGTAGCTGTTACACACCACACTGAAACTGTTGTCCTAATTAACATCCTAACTTTGCTTCATGTTACTGGTCAGAGAATTATGAAGAACTAAAGTTTCACGTTGCTGAAAGATTTTTGAAGTCAACTTGTTGCTTCACAGTGACTCCAAGTGCAGGATGGTGGAAGAGTTTAGATCCTAAGAGAGCCAGACTGTGGAATTTTCTTACCAACAATTGTTCACTTTTCTGCTGCCTTTTCCAACCTGTACCGATTAACCCAACATGAAGCTCCTGAAGCTTTCAGTTTATTGAACAATGAAGAACCTCAGCTTTAAATCTGCCACCATCTCGTTGTCTTTCTCCTTCCAGCTGGAGACCAAAGCGGGAAAAGCAGCAGCTTCTCTGTCCTCTGCTGATGCACTGGAGCCTCCCGACCTGAAGGTGGCGCTAAAGAGGGAGCGTGAGGAACACCAGCACCTCCTGGCCGAGTCCTACGCCGCCGTGATGGATCTGACCAAACAGGTGTCAAGCAAAACCTGCCGCTGTGTTTGTTCAGGATTTTAAATGACTTAGGTTGAGATTTCTGTTCGGTTTAAGAAGCTGATGTATCTGTGTTTCATATCTGCCTCTTCTTGTCTTCTCTGCTCGAGTAGCTTCAGATCGGGGAGAGAAACTGGGGCAGAGAGAAGCTGGAGCTGCTGGAGAGGTTCAGCCAGGAGAGAGCTCAGTGGGAGCAGAGGCTGAGGGAGGCCACCGCTCAGCAGGCCAAGGTAGGACCAGAGAGTATTATGGGATGGTGGCTTCTGGGGGGAGATGAAGGTGTGTGTGTGTGTGTGTGTGTGTGTGAGATAAGGTGTTGTGTTTCCATGGAGGTGCAGAAGTTTAAATTGCAGCGAAATATGAGCCCACAGTGAGTAAAAATGTGACCAAAAAAAAAAACACAGTTAAAGTCTGAACACAGCAACCAGTTCACAAGTTTTTTTTTCTTCAGCAACTCTTTGATCCTGAGCAGGTCATGTACTGCTGAGGTCTGAAGCTGCTGCGGTGGCTTTAATCTCAGCGCCCGGTCTTGTCGGCGCTGACGGTAACCACACAGCTGTTAATGCCATGATGTGAGTATTATTACCTCACTGTGGTTAAAGCTGAGCTCGCCTGGAAAACACGGTCAGTCATGTCTGCTGATTATACACCAGCAGAGTCACTGCAAACCCCCCCGACACGTCAGCCAGGGATGAAGTTTAAAGGTTTCGTTGGCAGCTCTTTGAGGTTGTCAGACTGAGGGTGTTCTCTTTGCTCTCCAGTCCGTTCCCTTCCTCTTCCTCCTCATATGTTTCCCTTCTCTCTGTTGGGTGATCCTGTCTCACTCCCTTTTGTGGCCCTCTGGAACCCAAACAGGGCATTTTTTGGCTTCTGTCATGTTTTTACTCACTGTGGGCTAATTTTTCTACGCAATATGAAGTCCAGCACCTCTATGGAAACAGCACAACCGGACTAGAATCAGCATTTATCCACCAACAGTGGAGGAAAAAAACTCTACACACCTTAGATATGTTGGAGACATATTACAGTCGTCCTGAAATGTATTCATCCCCTTCCATTAAAGAAAAGGCAAAATTCACAATAATCACTTAAATAACTAGCAACTTAAAAAAGTAATAATAAATAAAAATTTGCTAAATTATAATTTAGTGAAATAAGACGTTGCTTTTGAATTGGGGTTGAAAAGAATAATTAAAAAAAAAAAAAAACTAAAAACTATCCCGGACAAAGTAGAGCACTTTGCTGATGAGCAGTGAAATCCAAACACCTGTCAACAGGTGCAGAAGTCTGACTGAGAGTTACAGAAAACACAAAGTATTTGAAGAAGTCAATTACTTAATAAATGTACACTTTTTTAAATGATGTAGGCCGATAACATAGTGAAAGTCCTGAACAGATACCATAATATCTTTTGGCCAGTGACGCAATAAGTTATTACAATATTGGCCTGGTAAAAAAAAAAAAAATCTTTGCAAATGTAATAACCAGCCAATAACGTAAGAAGCTATAGTATATATAATGTTAGAATTCAGAATCTTGACAGGAGGAGGTCCATATACAAAAGGCCTCAGTGGACGGGAAGTCTCTTAATTTGTGCACCAACATGTGCAGTGCTTTGTCATGTTCTTCTGATGTTCCTGTAGTGTTGCAATAAGTTATTACGTTATCGGCTTCTACAGGGTTATTCAACAAAACATTAGTCTACAGGTCCCATCATGTTTGTTTGCTTGTTTTCTGTTTTGTTTGCAATGTCATGATTTTCATTACATTTTTATTTATTATTACTTTTGTCAATTTCAACTTATTTCAGTAACAGCTGCTTGTTTCCTTCTTTAATGGGAGGGTGTGAATAAACTTGAGGACGACTGTACATATGTTGCTTGCAGCTGAGTTACTAATAGCTGCAGAATTAGTTTTTGTAAACTGTTTATTTTTACATGAGACATGTAGAGTACAGCGGTTTTGATGACATATCACCATTTTAAGCTCAGATTTGGTTTCGTTTTCCAAAGGAAAGTCACACACGAGTAATTTGGGACCCACTGGAAAATTGAAACCGATTCTTCTTTCTGTTTTTAAATGAGACATGTAGAATAAAGTCATCAACATTTTTTAATTTGAACCCACCAGTGAACGGCACATCAGGGATGATGGAGTCATTTCTGGAGTTCAGAAAAACTCCTACAAGAAGCGGATTTGCACTGAAAACAGGTTCAAATGATCATGACTACGCTGCTTGTTTAAGAAAACGAAACCAGGATTCACTCATTTGCCAGAGTGCAGATTTAACAGAATGGATCATATTCTCCTGTACATTCCTGCTGCAGCTTTTACTGTCACAAAATCTGACAATTCTGTGTTCAGAGGGGGAACCTATCAGAGCCTCCATCCTGCTCAGTCATCCACACGTTTCTACTCATGTTTTCCAGTTAAACCTCCTCTCAGACTTCTGACATTTGCTTATAGTGCCCCCATCAGGCCAGTTAGTGTAAAACCAGCAGTCTGTTATATCAGAGTTAGGCCAAACAAATAAAAAAAAAACTTCTTCTGTCATTGAAAAATTGTATTCTGTGAGTACACGATGCACATCCGGGGGCTCAGCTGGTCCACTGTGCTGCAGGTGAAAGTGAAAATCCATCAGAGCATCTGTACAACTGAACACATTGTCTGCAGATGTCCTTTTCCCCTCTCTCGCTCTCTCCCTCATTCCGCCTCTTTCCTCTGAGGGGAAATGAGCGTGAGATCAGCCCTTCGAGTGTGAAACTCGCTGACTCAGCGTCCACCATCTGTGCGTGTGTGTGTGTGTGTGTGTTTGCATGCAGACAAACTCCACCAGACAACTCGCCACTTCCTCAATCAAACCCGCTGCAGAGGAAGAGTGTGGCAGAGAAAGGAATGTGTGAATGTCTTCCAGGATGTGACAAAAAAAAGAACATGAAGAGTTGCTGCATGTGCAATATGTGCAGATGATGCAGGTCATTTACATGCTAATAAGCTGTTAGAATCCACTGATTTCCTTTTTCACTGACGACGCTCTTCTTTTTTTCCTCGCAGTCGAAGCCATCGGGTGGCGAATCCTCCGCGGACGCCGGCCTCGCGAATGGAACAGGATCGCCAAGGTAACGGTTAAAAAAAACGTTGTTCACATTAGATTTACTAGGAGAGAAAACAGCACGTCTGTTTCATGATACAGGTGTTTAGGACCAATCAGAGTCCTGCACACTAACTTATTTATTTATTAGCTCCCTGTTTTGTTTCTAGATGTTCATCAGTCAAATATTTTTGGACAAAGAGAAACCATCTTACATAGGAAGTAGCTGTAACTGTGCCATCAGGTTACGATAAGAAAAAAAGTTTAAAAGTCTAAGTATAGTGTCATCATCATCATCATCAGGTTTTCCTTATGGCCTGCTCTCGGCCCTCGGGCGTGACTAAAGCATGTGTCCAGCAGCCGGTTAAAGTCCGAGCCATCCAGCATTGTCCTCCTTGCCTGTGCGTGGTCTACACACAGTAACTTTTCAACATTTGCCCAAGTCCTATTGGGTGTTCGCTTGTCGAACAATACCTGCTTTTGCAAGGCATTGTTCTCCATGCGACACACATGGGCCATATACTTCAAGTATTGTGCAAAAAGTGTAATGAAAATAATAAATACAGCATATTTACACATAGCAAAGAGGAAAGGTGAACATCCGTTATAAAAACATTACAGTAATTCATTTACTCAAGATCAGCCCCAGTCCATCCATCCATCCATCATCTATCTACCGCTTAATCCTCACTAGGGTCACGGGGAGCTGGAGTCTATTCCAGTTGACTCAGGGTGAAGGCAGGTTCACCTGGACAGGTAACCAGTCTATCACAGGGCTACACTTAGAGACAGACAACCAAGCACACTCACATTCACACCTACAGACAATTTACAATCACCAATTAACCTCAACATGTTTCTGGACTGTGGGAGGAAGCCGGAGAACCCGGAGAGAACCCACACTGCACGGGGAGAACATGGAGACTCCACGCAGAAAGATCCCGGGTGTCCTCACCGGGACGCGAACCGGCAACCTTCTTGCTGCCATCCCCAGTCCAATATGCAAAAATAAAATTCTGAAAAATATGTAACATGTAATTAAAAGCAACATCTCTGTAATTAATTCTACTTTCATGAAGTGTCCTAATGTGCAGTTTTTATTGTAACAAATGTCATTTATTTTGAAGTGTTACTAATATTGTTCCTCCATCATGTATGTTCAATGCAGTGCACATACCACCACTCATCATGACTTAACATAAAACAGCCAAAATCTCCATTTTGACAGCATCAACCAAAACAAAAATATAGAAGCTTTGTAAACATAGCGTTAATAGCAGAGCTCTTGTTCTGTTGGACCTCATTAGATTTATACCTAATGAATAAACAGCCAGTGTCTCAGCTTTCAGAACTCAAAAGTGGCTGCAAATGTGTTTTCATGACAGCAGAGAATAAATTCTTCTTTCTCATTTGTGAAAAGGATCAAACCCACACTGGAGGGTCCGGAGGTGAATGGAGCAGCCCATCAGGAGGAGAAAACCCAGTTTGCAGTCCCGCCTCTGTTTATCCGCCCAGAGCAGGGCCACATCACCAGGAAGAACTGGACCGACCTGACCGATGAGGTTAATTATTTTTATACATTTACTCACAATATTGACCTTGACCTTTTGGAAATCTGGTTTGATGTGTTTACATGTTGGTAGAGAACTGGTTTTATTCTGTTGTTTCTTCCTCCAGACCCCAGAAATTGCAGATACGTGTAAAACCTGGGACGGGCCCAGCGGGTCCTGCAGCAGCGCGGCAGAATCTCAGAATCTGGAGTCCGTGCAGAGGAGCTACACCGCTCCGGACCGAACCGGCATCCGGATCTACTACAGCCCTCCTGCTGTGCGGCGCATGGAACCCCGCAGGAGGAACCAGGAGGCCAAAGAGTCCCAGCACACCCAGAACGGCAGCTCCTCCCTGGGGATGAACGGTTCCAGTGCAGCCGTGGCTTCTGTAGGATCTCTGGACGTTCAGCCTCCGTCCTGCTTTTCTTCTTCCTACGAGCAGTGGCTGAGCTCTCTGTCCAAGCAGCACCTGGAGCTTCTGGAGAGCAGAACCGGCTGCGTCGCCACCTCCATGCCGAGCATCATCAACAACGGCGTCGGCGGCTCGGCCAGCAGCCTGGTCGATGGGATGTCGTCCTCGTCCGCCTTCCACGGCCTGGAGATCGGAGAGATTTCAGCCAATCTGAGCGACGACATGAAGGAGATGACCAACTGTGTCCGCCAGGCCATTCGCTCTTCATCTCTGGAGAGGAAGTCCGGCAAGGAACCAGGGAGTCAAGTAATTCAAGCTTCTCTTTATGACTCTCCGTCTTTTAAGGAACTTGGAGTAGTTTTGGATCCTAAAAGGCTTCAGTTTAATTCAGTAGTTTCAGAAGCTGATTTGCACCCAGAACAGGGTGAAATGTTGTGATGACGCTGCTTGTTTGAGAGCCTTTATTAATCCCTCAGTGGGGAAATTTGCATTGTTGCAGCAGCAAAGGGGACAAACATTTAACAAATACCAGCAGAAATAACAATTATGCACATATCAAAGGTGGTGCGGTGGTAGAAATACTGATGGAAATGCACAGATTTTGTCTTTATTGCACAGATTCTTGTATACGTAGAAAAACTGATGTTGCAAAGAGTTTTAAATGCACAAAATAGTCATAAATCACAGCTTTGAATGTGTTGATATTGCATCAAAATGAAGTATTTTGGACGGAATGGCAGCATCTCTCCAAAACACTCAAACCAGAAATCAAGGATTCACTCATTCTCCATCAACAGAAATCTTTATATTCACCTTGAAATCCCTCCTGTGGTCATTACAGTCACTCTTTATCGCATGTTTTCCTTCTCTAAACACACTAAACGTTTTCATTTTCTCCACCCAGGCCGTCGGCGTCTCCACCAGATCCACGCAGACTGCAGCTCAGTACGTCAGCGTGGGCCTTCAGACGGAGAACCTTCCGGGCAGCAGGGGCTCGGGGTTGCACTCCAAATCCTGGTCGCCTCGTCCTTCGTCGACCACCTCCTCGTTGGCTTCGGCCCGAACTCGGCAAATATCAACGTCACTGGATAAAGTTCACAGTCGCATCGAGAGGCCGTGCTGCTCGCCCAAGTACGGATCACCAAAACTGCAGCGCAGAGTCTCCTCTGGTAATTTATTTCTTCTTAGCATTTGTTTTTGGCATCCACTGTAACTCAGGTTGTGTTACTCTGACTCTATTCATCACTTTGCACCGCTGCTGTGTTTTTAGGCTCTACCTCCAGACTGGATGGGAGCTCCTCCTCCAGGGACCGCAGCCTGTGGAGCCTCCAGCAGAGGCCCATGAGCGGAGGAGGAGGTTCGGCCTGGGCTCGATCCACCACCACCAGGGACAGCCCGGTCCTGAGCGGCCTCACCGACGGCCTCTCCAGCCTCTTCAGCGTCGTGGAGCACTCTGGGAGCACAGAGTCGCTGTGGAGGGGAGACGCAGGTAAGATGCTGCAGCTTTGTCGAAGGTTTTGGTGGAAAACGTCTGAGGACGATCAGGTCGGGACGTAAGTGCAGACAGTCGATGCAGGCAGGAAAAACCCAAATTCAAATCCAAAAAACAAACTAATTATTATCAATCAGTCAAAAGAGGAGGGTATCAGGCAAAGAGAGGAAGCAAGAGACAGATAACATACGACAGGAGACAAGCAAAGAAAAGGATTTTTACAAAACGAAACAGGAAATAAATAAACAAAACTTAAGACCATGACAGAAAGTAGAGCTTTTTTCAGAAGGAGTTTTTGTTTAGAATACTTGTGAATCAAATGATCACCAGAAGAAAACACAAACTTCTACCATAAGCCCAGAATTCTTTAGCTTGTGTCCACTTCTGCTGATTATGTTTGATGTTTTTTTTGAGGGATTTAATTAGTTGTGTCAGTTTTAACACCCATTTTTAAATGTTGTTTTGCATCAGGAACCAGCCAGACCGCCAGTCCGGCTCGTCAGCCTCCTGCTGCAGGAAAACCTTCAGTGGCGACGGTCTGCTCATCCGACTCCAGCTCTCAACGCTATGGAGGTCTGGTCCAGGAGTTCTTCAGGAACGTCTGCAGCAGCCGTGGCCCGGGAGGAGTCGCCCTGCCTGGGGAGAAAGCGCAGAGGGACTCCCTCGGCAGTTTGGGCGTCTTCAGCGGCGTGGATGAGCCCAAGCCGGAGTGCGTGTCGGTCGGAGGACTCGGCGCGCTGGCCGGGTTGGGCGGAAGCAACGACAACGTGACCAGGATTGTTAACAAAAGGTTTATGAGGCAGACGGCTGGAGAGGAGATGGTCAGCATCATGGGAGGAGGGAAGGAGACGACGAGCAGCGCCGCCGCTGCAGGATCTGGGGTGGAGGTGAGCGCCATGAAAACGTAGTTTCATTCTGAACCGTGTCAGTGGTTTCACCTGCTTCAGCCAGTCCTACATTAAATAGCATTTTGAACTGCAGCTCAGCATTGGCAGACTGTTGTTGATTCTGGCCCTCAATGGTTTTTTAAAAGCACCCTAAAACTTTTAGATTGTTAATATGCTTCCTCATTTGCCAGATGACAAAATTAAGAGACTCATTTCTCTCAATAGTGTCGTCATTTTCTAATGCTGCTTAAGTACTAATTGGATTTAAAACCTCTACACTGCCACTGTTTTTCTGGCTCTACATCGACTTTTGAGGGGAAGAAAAACCCCCGTCCCTGCCTTTAGGAAAAGTTTGAAATGCTTCCTGAAAAAGGTTTCCTGGAATTAAGGCTAAAACATGAACTGTATTTACTGATTTGAGGCTAAAACATTCAGAGCAGAACTTCACCATTTAGTGACGTTTCTTTGCTACTGTCACATTTTTACTCACTGTGGGCTCATTTTTCACTGCAATATAAAGTCCTGCACCTCTATGGAAACACAACAACCTTGAGTAGAAGTAGAGAGAATTCAGAAGTGTTTTCTGTGCAGTAGGACAAAGTTTTAATGCCATAAATCATGTAAAAGAACAATGAAATTGAATATTTAGCTTAAAACTGGAATAAACTTGTCCAGCATTTGTCCAAGTGTCCACAGGTGTTACCAACATGGTAAAAAACATACAATGTCATTGATGTTTTACTGCTTTCATGTGTACTTTGTGTCCTTACTACTCTCTGCTCCATGTAAACACAGCCTGCAGTTGAGCCCAATTCAGCCAAAAACTCACAGAATTCTTATTGCATGATTTGTTGCTTGCAGCTGAGTATTTTATAACCTCATGGTTGCACTGAGTAACACAGAATTCTTTGGTTTTTGCCAAATCCGATTAGAGCAAACTATTTTTAGCTCATTTTAAATGAGACATGACAGTTTTACTGACAGCTGAGCAGCTTATGGACCATTGGAAAAGTTAAATTCCAGCAATTTTTTTTCTGTTTTTACAGCTTTTGGCACCGACAACTGTTGAATTGAGTGATTTTCTAAAGATAACATAATTTTCAGACGTACAAAGTAGACGGCAAACATCTTACTTGTGGATCTACACCTGCACAAGTCATAAAATCCCCCAAAAAGAGCCTAGAATAAGTCTGCTCAAATGGAATAAATGTTAAAATTATAGATTTATAAAGGAAAAAATATTACAACAGATCCATATTGTTAAATTTCAAATCAGATAAAACAGCTTTAAATGATCAAAAGTATTATGAAGCAAATACAAAAAACAAGACGTCACACTGGACTGAGTTGGATAATAGAGACCAACATGACTAGTCATTAATACACTAAAGCAGCGATAGATAAAAGAATATACTGCTAGTAATTAAAAATATACAAAAAACACACCAAAAAGTAAAACAAAACCTTCATTCAGCCGTTCATAGGTTTTCATTTTAGTTAAATCCAACACCGTGTCTGCTGACAGTCATTGATGGAAGGTCTAAAAGTAAAACAAGTTTGCACAACAACATATTTGGGACATGGCTATAAGGCTAAATAGTTTCCTGTAAGAATATGTGAAAAGTGTTTTGCTTTGTATAATATAAAAAAAGATTTCCATACCTCCACGTTTGGCTGAATCAGACATCTCTGTCCCCAGGATGCACCTTGTGACTGCACCGCTCAGTCCGCCTGCTTCGCCCGACCATCCAGAGCAACAACTCGCCACTGCAAGCATCGTCCACAAGAGTCTCCGGCGGCGGCGGCAGCGGCGGCGGCAGCAGAGGAGAAGGTGGACGCCTGCAACGAGTGACCACACTTCTACTGCCACAGACACACAGACACAAAGCAATACTGATTATCCACAAACACCACTGCCATGAAAACACACACACACACACCAAATAAACATGCACACCGACAACCTGCCACACAGGCACACTGCCAAATACCACACACACACACACACACACACAGCTGATGGCACACCACAAACCCACTGCCACATGCACACATTCATTAAACACACAAACCAGGCAATATTACACTTGTCTTGGACCGTACCACTCTGATGCCAAGGACAGGGGGGGACTCACAACCCGGATTCAAACGTCACAAAACTACCAGCAGGAGAGGAAAACACACACACGTTCTTACACGCTCAACTAAACGAGAATAACTTTAAACTGCAGAAAGTCTAACAAGTAAAGATGTCAGGACTGGATCGACTCATAAACCCCCTCCAACTTACACAATAACCGGTACTACAGCTTCAGGATGGGAACTCTAACTTGCCACCACGCTGTTGGAAAAGCAGCCATGTTGGATTTACAGATAAGGAAGTGCGTTAAACGTGTGCGTGTTGCTATAAAACTACAAACTACAGAGGAGACATCCGGGACAGCTGGAACGACCTTCAACGTCTTGTTGGCGACTCCACCAGAATCCAAGACCGTAACCTGACCGATGATCTCTTTGTCATCGACACACATGCCGCGCTGGGAAATTACGCCGCTTCGATTAATTTAGCACAATCACATTCCAGCGACTGTTCTCCGACGTGGATCCTGAGAAGCTCGATTACGCAACTCGTTCAGTCGTGGACTAGTTTACATCGTCTTTTATTGGCTCGCAAAAGGAACAACTCAAGGACTGATGGATGTTTGGACTTCACAGCTCGACAGATGAGACCATAAAAACTGATCTCTTGTTATTTATTAGCAAACCAACGAAAAGCTGTTGAGGTTTGTCTAGACGTAACGGTCCACTGTGTTCCCAGAAGGACTCTGATCACAAACACTGGGACATGTTTTTTTGTGGCATTGTAGCCATGACCTTGTAGATGTAAGAAAAACCTCCTTTAAAGAAGTTAACCTGCGGAGTCTGATCGGGAAATTTAGGTTTGAATCCAACAGGTGGAAAGTGCCTGTTTCATAGTTTTTGAGATGTTCATCTTTAAACTGTCTGAGTGATGATTTGATGAAGACGTGAGGTGGCTTTTCCACTGCAGGAACATTAGGTGGTGTTTACAGGAATGGACCATTTTGGCCTTTCTGTTTTCCGCTCTGGTGCAGAATCCAATTGTTTTGACCACAACGTTAACTTCAGCTGCACCAGAACTATGAGAAATAGTAGCGACTGGACACAACTCCAACACAAAGGTCTGTGTGATTAACCTGTATGCCAAATTTTGTTGATGGACGTCGAGAGCGTAGAAAAATGGTGCTTGTAGTTCTCTCCAACTTTAACCAATCACTGTTATCTTCTCCAAATTTAACCAATTAGCATCCAGGCCTCCTCAGAAGCACCCAACAGCCTGAAACAGATTCTAGCTTTTGCAGCCAGAACACAAAAGAAGCTCCTGCAGCAGAAAACGCCCGTCCTGAAATACTGGTTCCACTGACTGCAATCGATCAGAAATGTCTGATTGCACCTTAAAGCCCCTCTACAGAGATCATGTGGCATTGGATAGCGATGCACTAGGAACCTTTTTTTTATTCTTATACCAGTTTCTAAGGGTTCCACAGCCACTAGTTTGGGATGATGTGAGAAAACAGACACAGCAAATTCATTCCATTTTCCTTCATTTTCGTATCACATGTGGCTTTTGGACTCTGATTCAGTTGAAATGTCATTGATTGAAATCCTGACTGGTGCATCTTTTCACTTGATATGAACAGTAGACTGAAGAGTCAGTAATAAAAGAGAAGCTGTAGCCGAGCTGCAGAAATTAGTCCCATCGACCAAAAGCTCTACTAGTCGTTGCATTCCTTCTGACGAGAGAAGAGATTCAGAGGTTGAGTCTTTGCCAGATGTGTGTTTGGTTTGTACATTTGATTGTTTCACTTGTCAGCTTTCTGGTGTGTCGATGCATCATTTCCTGGGAGAGTTTCAACTTTGTTTCTCGCTCACGTCTTTCCTTTGTTTGACACCGACGACATTTCTACTGTGTGATCCCTATTTTGAAGATGTAGCATCACAAATGTTTCTGAGCTACGAGCTGCTGAAGCACTGAAGGTTTTTACTTATTTGAAGAAATGAGAATTTTTGGTTTACTTAATCTGACTTTTTTTTTTTTAAACTTTAGTAACTTCCTAAATTAAAAAAAGTTTTTTCTTTTAACTAAATGTCAGTTTTCAATGATGTAAAATGTGTGATAGGGAAATATCTGGTACAGAAGTAAAACAAATGACACAAAGAGTCTTATTAGAACACATAAAATACTGCTAATTGAAAAAAAACAATCATATTTGGAAGCGTTTTTTTGGGTTCTCCTTTCTATATGTTTGCCATGTCATTCTCTTTCTAATCAATCAAAGTGCCTGTTAGTTTGCCTATTAGTCAGCTCACACCAAAACTGGACTCCATGTAAAACACACATAAACCCAGCAGGCCTTTTTTTTAATAATTAAGGTTGTTTTTATGCACATAATTACAATCAGGCAGTCCTGAAGCTACGATAACGTACTGTCGAGGAGGGACAACATGGTAAACAGCTACAGGAGGATATAGTATATAAACGCTTCAATTTTTTATATCGAGGGTTATATTGTATTTCTGGAAATTAAATTATTTTTGTTTAGTTTGGTTTATTTTATATGGATGTTTTTTTTTGTTAGCCTGTTTCTATTCTTTCTATTTAGTTGTCATGGTGCTACTTTCGTGCAAAGCCTGCTGTGGGTTTTCTACCCCTTTAACCAGGCGTCTGTCCGTCCTGAGCGGCGTTCCTCCGTCTCCGCGCTGCATTTAGTGAGTCAGCAGTTTAAAATAGGGCATTACGGTAACAGCGCGTGTGTTCAAATGACACGCTGAGGAAAACCCACAGACTAAATCGCTGCTGTCTGTCTCCACTCCGGCCCAAAACCGACTGCGTGAAACCAGCTTCGGAAGCGTCCGGCCTGATTTTCGCTGGCTGGCTGATTTTTTTTGCACCACAACAGGTAGTTTTTTTTTTTTTATTCCTGGAGATCTGCTTAGTTACACCACAGAAACCCAATAACCTCATGGTCGCAAGTTTCACTCCATTTCTGTCCACGTTCACTAACATTTCTATCATTTGAAGTTTTGCAGTTGCGTCTACGAACCACATCTGGAGAATTAACTGGATCCAATAGGAATTAAAGAGGAATAAAACACGGGGGGAAACGGCTACATGAACGTTCATCCTGAGCTTAAGACTCAGTTTAACTAAATGAAGAGTTTGCTTTCTAACAACAGGTTCACTCGGTGCCCTGTATGTCTAAACTCATTGTTTCCTCCTCACAGAAATAAAACATTTTCATGCAATACTCCTCTGAAAATGCAGGTTTTAACATCTTAGCATCTCTCTGTAGGTTTTCTCTGTTGTCTGCTTAGATTTGCAGCAATTTCACAGAAGAAAAAAAACAGTTTTAACAGTCGAAAGAAGCTCCTGCAGTAGATTACAATCCTTTGCTGCCTCTCCATGTTTCCAGCAGGTATAGATTTGCCCAAATGTGGCTCCTTAAGTTTTTTACAGCAAAGAGAAACGGTAAAATAAATGTTTTTTTTTCCTGGGGGCTCTATTATAGCTGCAGAAGTCATTGTCAGAAATCACTGTGCAGTGAAAAGAGCCCGAGAAGCTGCAGACAGTGAAACACTGGGAGGCTGAAGTCATGTCTGCAGCGACCACAGTCCAATAATGACTCCCACAGTCTCCCCCGTTACGTACCAGGATAAATACCCTGAAGCCACAAAGAAACCTTTATCATACACTAATATTTGGTTTGGCACCGATTCTGCTGTTCAGATAAACTGCAGAGCTGGAAAAATCTGTCACAACAAGCCATTAATCTTAATTCACCAATTTTGTTTTAAAACTGGAACATTTCTTAATAAAATCAAGGCACAGACTTGAAAGAAATCAACTATCTGAACAACAGAAGCCCCATTTTTGCAAAGATTCGGTTAAAATATTCACAGTTCTGTGGCAAAATGAATTAAACGCTGAGACGTTGCCGCGGTTTTTAACCAAGTTCCTGCTGACGTGCAAGAAAACACAAAGGTTTACCCGATTCTGTTCTACCTCTTACACTTTTTAATACACTCCGAGAGCTGGCATCCGATAACACAGAACACTGTTGATGTATCTCTGACATCATGACGCCTCTTCACCGTTTAGTCTCACTGTTCACGAGAAGGTCACTTTAGTGCCTTTTTCTCTACAAAGATGTCTCGGTTTGATCAAGACTTTTATTTTTCTGCAAATATTCGGCTCCGACTCAGTACTTACATGCAAAATTCCAGATTGAAAGCATCTGGAATTCAGATTAAACGTCTTACTTTGTCATCTTGTGGCCGATCTGGGGTCGCTCCGCTACAAAGATTGCAAGCCAGTACGGGATGTCAGTGTCAAGGCCGAGCTTACAGCTTTAGATGTTAGTGTTTTTCTGACCAGACCTCCAAATGGATTCAAATTTGGACCAATTTTACATTTTGGCTAGGTGTTTTTTATGCTAATTCAAGCAGTTGCCTGTATTTTTTGACGATATGGTGAAGATTCTAGCACATGGAACAAAAATACAGGACAGGGCGTCACTGATTTTTCATTGAATTGCACACGCGAAGCAGCTGCTGTGTGTTTCTTTAAGGTAACACTGACTTTATCGTCTTGTTTTTGGCGATGCATTTGATTTTTACGACAACAAACACAGGATGTGGCACTTCAGAGCTGGAAATTACATCTCACATCTGCTGTCATTTACTGCAACATGGACATATTTTCTATGTTCTATTTTCTAAAAAAGAAAACAAACAAACAAAAAAAAAGATTTCTCTCTAGGATGTCACTGGTCAGTCGTCTCCGCCTCTCCAGCCTTTCCACCTGCCCGCCAGGTGTCACGTTAGCTCCTCCCCCTCAGGTTACAAATATACGAGGCATTTCAGCCGATAACAGAACCGTTTGTTCACCAGCCGATGACAGATCTTACAGGTTGCGTCGCACAAAACCACGAGTCTTACTGTTCCCTGTGTGTCTGCAAACCTGTCGAAGCAACATGTCTACTTTTTTTTGTATCCATACCATTCATATGATTATTACATGCTGGGGAAAAAAAACAAATGTACATGAATTCTTAGCTGTCCATAACATTAGCCAAACTAGAGACTGCCTGTATATTCGCTTTATAACCTACTCTTGTCTTTTTTTTAATAACGGCTTGATTCTCGAATAAAAGGAGAATGCAATGAAAGCAAAACAAAGTGAGTACATGGTAAAGAAATGTGTCCCCCTCGTATTGTAAAAGAAAAGCAAAAGGTTTGTACTCTCTGTCCTTTTTGTTTATTTGAGAAAAGCTGAATGTCAACAGCGGCTCTGAACCAGGTCGCTGTGGAAGTATGTAGCTCTCTCCCTTTATACGCCACACTTGAGCATTTCTTCTGTACATAGGTGCATTTTGAAGCTGATGGAAAAACAAACAAACGACCGCAAACGAAGTCAGATGAGGAAAATTTGATCCAAGTGGATTTTTAAAAAGGGGGTTCGGGGTTTTTCTTTTTTTTCCGAGCAATGTAGCTTGTAAACCAAGATATTATAACTGCCTCCTGTTTGTCATAGAATTCACAAATAAATGTTTGATGGACTTTAAAGTGTTTTCCTGTCGTTGTGTACATGTTTGTGTTCTTGCCAACTGATTATGCTGCATTGTTGATGGGTGTTTATGAAAACAGCCAGAGTTGCTTCACCTGTCAGCTAACTTCAGTCATCTTGACTTTCCACCACACCCTTGTTATGACCCCGAGTCATGTGTCTGGATGTGCCAGATCTCCCTTTAGCCCGATGATGCTGGAGCAAGTGGAGCTCTGTGATTGGTCCACATGAGGAAATTCCAGGACTGGACCAGTCAGTGACAGCAGCCTTTCACATGAAGCTGAAGTCCTCCTTCCACTTACTCGCTTCTTCTGCTCCTAGTTTCCAATTTACATGCTCTTGTAAAGACCACATATAAGCATCATGGCAGTCTTGAGTTTCTAATGACTCCTTTAACTCTTAGTTTCTTATGATGAAACCATTGAAACACTCCAAAAAACATGCATTTTGGTTCTTTCATGAATTCATTATAGGTCTCCTGAAAATAAGACAAAATCTGCTGGATCAAAGATGGACCTGCAGTAATGCTAATTTTTGGCCATTCTCACTTCAGCTCAGGTGCTTTTGGTAGCAGTCCACAAGATGTGTTTATGGACACTCTTCTTAACAGAATTAGTGCAGTTTGAATAAAATTGTTGCGCAGTGGACAGATTCTTAATGGACTTTGGGGATGCCAGTCTAAAACCTAAATTCTAGCCTGATTTAGTCATTTTATTACCATTTTTAACAGGTGTTTGGAGTCATTGTCTTGTTGAAACACCCAACTGCGTCCAAGACCCAACCTTCTAGCTGATGATTTTGTGTTTTCCTGAAGAATGTGGAGGTAAGAAGTTCGTTCCTTTGTCCATGTGATCCGCTGCAAACTTCAGTTGAGCCGTAACATTCCATTTCTGGAGGAAGGACATTTGTTGTTAAATCTAATGAGTGGATCAAATGAGTCTTACTTTAATTGCCTCAGAGGAGACAGCAGCTGTAGTCAATCATCGTCACTCACGAGACATTAAGAGCCACTGAGAAAAGTTGACTACCACAGCTTTTGATATCACCAAAGCTGATCATTTAAGTTGCTGTATGTATATTTTTGATCCTACAGATCTCTAATAAATCCATGGAAGAACCAAAATACATGATTGTGACAAAGATGCATGTGCTTCAGTGATTCCATCATAGAAAATCAATGGTTATAGGAGTCATTGGAAACTCAAGACTGCTGTGATATACGTGGTCTCTACATGTGTAGAATCATACCCCTAGAGTGCCCAAAAAAGTTGCTGGTGTCATAAATGTGGTCCCACAGATAAGACTCAAATGAAATTAGTCACATGCTTAAGTTGTGAAAGTGCTAATCATCTGTGGGAATACAGGGGAGCTTAAAAAGCGTTCCATCCGATTACGTGGAGTGGACAGATGGTGTTTTGTTGAGACTCAGCCTTTGGAAAACACACACAATATGAAAGCTTGAATTATACAAAGAAAGTAATTAGGCAGCAGTTAACTTTCTGTTCGTTGTAAAGTAGCCAAAACTGCAGGCCAAGCAACTCAGCATTTGATTACCGTTGTCTGTGAGGCTATATTCATTTTATCCCTTTGTTTGTCTTGACTCCCCATATGGCTCCAGGTGGCAATAACGCTGGGACGTTTTTTCAAATGCGGGGTGGAAGGCAAACAAGAAAGAAAGTGAAAATTTAATGGGATGAAAAGGACAGAAAAACAGGAAGAAGAGAATTGTTTCAAGAAATGGAAGAGATAAACAGAGAGGAATGTGTAAAAACCAGCTTATCCAGTAGTATTTAAAACCTCAGGCTGAATGTGTTGTTTGTACCACAAATACAGAGGAAAGAGAGAAAACATTCTTTATCTTTGCTTATGCAATGATTAGTTCTTAAAGAAGAGTCATTTCAATAAAGTGCAAGTACTAAGACAACGAAATGCAGTTTAGCTTCTAACCAGAAGAGAAAAAGCAGCAGTAAATGACATTATACACAATATGGTACAGTACAGACAGAATAATGTGGATGTGGATGCAATATAGAATAGATCATGCTAATATACAGGTAGGGAAAAATAGCTGTATGAGCAGTATAAATAGTCTGGATGGTATGGACTCATACTTAGACATTAGTCGTCCTCAAATGTATCCATACCCTTCCATTAAAGAAAAGGCAAACTCCACAATAGTCACTCATATAACTAGAAACTGAAAAAAGTAATAATAAATAAAAATTT